TTCAAAGCGCAATTCTGAAATCTTTACATAATTTCTGATTGGTGTTTGGCAATTCAAGAGTCTGAAACATCCTGAAAATGTAACATTTTGTGTAAAATTGTTTGGGAAACTTGGACACGAAAATGTATAACAGAGTTAATAGCGTTTTCAAAAAAAAATATCATTTATATTTTTTTAGTTTTTAAACTACAACTAGATTGAAACCAAAAACGACTAAAATTATCGCGTGGTGAAATAATATTTTATACTGAACATTTGTAAAATATTTTAGGAAATTGATTGACGTTGAAAAAACCTGAAAATTTCAAGTTGTTTAGAAATTATCAACACATCCTGAAAACCACTGCTTTGCTCTACTTTCGTTATTCCTTTTTTACAAATTCTACAAAATTTTGCTTTCAAGTTTTTTTTAATTAGGTTTTTTAGATGTAAAATTGTGTGAGAATTATGACTATGCATGTTAAAATGTTCTACGAGTAATAGTTTTTCAATTATGGTTCAAAATTTCATACCTTACAAAATCCTGAAAATTTTCAAAAACTTGTAATTGCGTTTGGCAATTAAAATCCAGAACCGTTCTATAAGAAGACCGTTTCATAGAGAAATTGGAACTCAAATATGAAGATAGTTAACAGAGTTAATAGCAAAAAACATAAAAAAAAAATTTAATTTTTAAACTACTATTGTATTGAAGTCAAAAACACCAATTTATAATTTCTAATTACTAGAATTAAGACGTTTTATACTGTTCTTATGTAAAATATTTCGGGAAGTCGATTGACATTGAGAAAACCTGAAAATTTCAGATGCTTTAAAAATCAATTAATTAATTGTTTGGAAACCACTGATTTGCTCTACATTCTTCATTTATTTTTTACAAATTCTACAAAATTTAAGTTTTAAGTTTTTTTAATTAGGTTTTCTAGAAGTAAAATTGTGTGAGAATTACGTTTCTGCATGTAAAAATGTTCTACGACTAATAGTTTTGGAGTTATCGTCCGAAATTTCATACCTTACAAACTTCTGAAAATTTTCAAAAAACTTGTGATGGTTTTTGGCAATTAAAAGATCTGAAACGTTTTGTGAAAAAAAAGTATTAAAACAGTTTTTGGAACCCAAATATGAAAATAGTTAACAAAGTTAATAGCGTTTTCGAAAAAAACGTAAAAAAATTTAAATTTTTTACTGTATTGAAGTCAAAAACGCCAAAATTTCAATTTCAACTTGAAATATTTGATACTGAACTTATGTAAAATATTCCGTAAAGTCGATTGGCGTTGAGAAAACCAGAAAATTTCAGATTGTTTAGAAATTATCAACACATCCTGAAAACCACTGCTTTGCTCTACATTCTTTATTTATTTTTTACAAATTCTACAAAATTTAACTTTTAAGTTCTTTTAATTAGGTTTTCGAGATGTAAAATTGTGTAAGAATTACGATTCTGCATGTAAAATATTCTACGACTTATAGTTTTTAAGTTATCGTCTGAAATTTCATACTTTACAAAATACTGAAAATTTTCAAAAAAACTTGTGATCGTGTTTGGCAATTAAAAAGTCTGAAACGTTCTGTAAAAAAGAACGTTTTATAAAAAAAAATATTTTTGGAACTCAAATATGAAAATAGTTAACATACTCGTAGTTAATAACGTTTTCGAGAAAAACGTAAAAAAATTAATTAGATTTTTAAAATTTTTAAATTACTACCTGCTGTATTAAAGTCAAAAACGCCAAAATTTTAATTTCTAGTTACTGTAATTGAAATATTTTGCACTATGCTTATGTAAAATATTCAGGAAAGTGAAAATTTCTGATTGTTTAAAAGTATTAACGCATACTGAAAACCCCACTTTCTCTTGCTCTTTACAAATCCTGAAAAATTAAGATTACAAGCTTTTTAAATTAGGTTTTCTAGACAGTAGGTTAAAAACTGGTATATTTTATTCTTCACACATACCTGAAATTTTAAAAAACTTGTTGTTTGTCAATTCAAGAACTTGAAGAATCCCAAAAATCAATATTTATTACTTGCAATTGTTCTAGAAACTCAATTCCCGCGAAGTTTTTTATTTAAACGCTACAGTTTTCGGGTAATTGACAAGAAAAGTGAAATCAGTCAAAAATTTGTAAAGTGTTGTTTCTTTAATGCGTCCTCGAGGGAAATTAAAATTTTCCATACTCAGAAAACTTTGCAAAAGCTTCTCGTAAATCAAAACGTCTCTTGTATAGTGACTGGACAAATAAGCACCGCAACAGCGACATATTTATGAGGGACACAGAACAGCGGCTTAAAGGCTGACAGCACCCTTTAAAAATGATTTACTAAAGTTTCGAATCTTATTTGCGGAAAAATCCACGTTTTTTTGTCTTATTAATGTGTCCCAAAGTTATTTCCCGTTAAATACAGTGACGACATTGAGAAAATTACCCCGACACGAGATTCATTTAATACGAACACGCAAAACGATGATAATCTCCGACAAATTGAATTGGGACAGGTAGAGATTACCAAGAAAAAAAGCAAGAAAATGAGCTTAAACGCCACAATAATTAAGCTCCAAAAACCAAAATCACATATTCTGGCTAACAGCGGAAATTCTTAATTAAGCCGTAACTTCCAAACAATTTATTGCTCGAGTAAATAATTGGAGGAAAGTTGTCTTATTTTTATTCCAATTGGAATAATATTTATTTCAATGTAAGCAAGCTTAAATTTAAAGTTTCAGCTTGTTTATCAACTCAGCCCGAAATAGAACGGTTTTGGGCAATGATAAGGGAACAAAGGTTGGATTCAAACCTGCATGATACTAAATTACCGGCTTTTCACATGAAAAATGATACTGGTTTTAATATTAACGAGAAAGGTAAATATAAGGCTTATTACACTGCATCAACGAGATTATGTAAAATTATTCCGCTCAACGTTATCAATTAATAACAATTATAAGGAGACACAACGCTTGTGCACAGGTTTAACATTTAACATTTTCAGCAATCAATTAGTCTGAAAACGACTGAAGCGAATTTTTCCTGCTTGAGTTCTGGCAAATATTTTGCGTAAAATTTTCGTTTCCACAGTTAATCGCAGCCGTTGAGGCGGAATATTGGATTTATTTCACTTGTGTGGGTTAATATTGGACACGCGTCGTCGAATTTTACTAAACATTTCAGAGACATTGTTTGAAAAAAGTCCCAACTCGAGTTCATAAATCATTTTTAATGGACTTGTTGTAAATTTCAGGGGTAATAAAATTTCGAGAAGGTTATTACACTTCGTTAATGCCCACTAGGTGTAACACAGTTGCAAAATTTTATTTTCAGCCAAATACTGATCGATAGGAATGTGTAAACCATCTTTCAGAGTCGGGAAGAGTTTGCTTTACTGCCAATCACGCCGACAAACCACCTGAATTAGCCACAATGTTTCACAAACTTGCCCAAAGCAATTATTTTCGTACCAATCGATTCGATATCTTTTCAGAGCTTTTAAAGCGCTGAAATACAACCAAAGCGCAATTTTTCACGCCTTCGACATTTCAAATAATTTCAGCTGTTTTACATTTTACAAATTAAAAATCTGCGGTGTGATAAAAATTGAAAAGCAGTAAATTTAAATAATTGCAGGGACTGCACATGTGCCACAAACATCCTGAAATGTGCGTCATTTTAATTAGCACTGGATTAAAAATATTGAAATTTTTTCAGTAGCAACTGAAAACACGGAAATTTCAGTTGTGTCAAAGTAATTAAATTTGATGGTAAATATTTTTGCGCCATGGATAAATATTGTAATGCGTGCACCTGCACAAAATCCGGGAATCAAATGAGTGTTTTTCTAATTGAAATTTTCATCAGTGCTGAAAACTGCACCAATTTCTATTAATTATTATAGTTATTCCGGTTGCGTTTCGCCCGGAAACTCCAGGGATATCAGCGATTCCGGAACATGGCCATCACACGGAGCCGAATTGTTCCTCGTCCTGATCGCCTGGAGTCCCGTTGGATAATTATCCTGATAAAAACTGAAAGTGTTGACTCAGAGAGCCGTTGACTTGAAAACGAAATTTTTCTAATTTCTATAATATAATTCCTTAAAGAATTTGAAAATTTCAGTAATTCTAAATAATTGACCTGAAAAGATTAAGGTTTTGTTGTGTGATGTCCGGTTTTTTTTGAGCTTAGAAACTTGGATGAAGCTTTAAATAATTAGCAGACTCTAATTAGACACTTCTTAGTTAATTTCTTCATCCAGAAATGCAGAATTTCTCGTCTATGAACTCCTTAAACATAATGAAGTTGATGTGATAAAGACTGAAAGTTCAGTTGCAGAGCTTTGAATTAAGTGTAGCGCTGAAATCGAATTAATTAAATATTTTTAGTTGTGTTCGTGCTTTTTAAATTGTGATGTAAAAAGTGTCATTAATTTGGTAAAAGTGTCTGCTTTTGAATTCTTCCAGTCCATTAAAAGGATTTTAGCTGGACGAAGGATAATCGCAAAAAATCATACACGAATTTAGCAAAGTCTTTGATAAGCTTTGTGCTTTTTCTTGTCGTGTTGTGTTACCTTTTTGTGGATTTTGACGTTGATAAATATGCGAGCTTGAGCCATTTGTATTTTTCCTTTTCCGTTTCAAATCAGATAAATCCTTGACATAAAGTCTTCAATTTCAATTTTGTGGAAATGGCGCGTTATGGAGATTATTAATCCCAATGTTTTCTCTCTGAATAAGAATAGCAAAAACAATGGGGGATAATATTTAAATGGAAAAATGTTTCACATGATGTCAACGAAAAGCATTAGATATTTGAACAGTAAATTGGCAAACGCGGATTTTATTATTGTTTCGTCTAAACAAAATTGAAACCAAACAAAATTTCAATCTCAAATTGCAATTAAATCACGTGATATTAAATTAATGCAGGTTTGTGAAGAATAAACCGGATTAACTTGCGCATTTTGCGTCAAAGGCTAATTTAAGAGAATGTAAAATGACTTACGTTATTTAGTTAGGTCGAATTTAATTTGTAGGTCTCGGAGGAAATTTCGTTGCATGCACTTTAGTGAAGTTCCATGGAAAACTACTCCTATTCATCCTCTCATAATTTTCTCCTGAAATAAAAATCATTTTGTTAGCTTCTCCAATAAATTTCCTCGGTTTAAAGCGTAATTTTTCTCAACTCCATTTACCTAATTGTTGTTTTTTAAGCCAGGAACTAATTCTTAGGCATCAACGCCGCAATAAAACTTTATCACTAGCATAAAACGCCTAATCCATTTTACATACTTGGAAGCTTTATTGGCAATCATAATAAAAGCTTGCTAAACACGAATTAGAACAAATCAATTTTTAGAAACACCATAAAGAGCTTTATTTCAAAGTTAAGCTTCGGTAGGATCAAATCTCATTACATCACATGACCCTTGTCACAATTCTCTCAGATTGGGTCAATTTCACATAAAGTGAACGACTCGGATTGAAAATATAACTCTCGTCGGTCGAATTTGAACAAATTTCAGTAGTTTAAAAGTTATCGCCTGCGACTTTATTTTTTCACAAGGTGGAAATGAAAAGTGCTTTCCGACAGACTACGACCCATATTTCCGGGTTATTGGACGCGAAAATCAACCAAAATTCTGACTAAAATCGTAAAAACCCAAAACTTCAAAACTGATTTAAAGTGATTTTTTATAATACGTAATACAAAATGCGTTAATTTGAAAAAAAAAATTATTGAGAAAGTAATCTGTGTTTTTCGTGTAAAAAATCATAACTCTCAAATACCTATTTTCAGCAATTTCATAAAAAATTAATGAAAACAGGAGCAAAAAACTGATTTAATTCGGAAAAAGAATTTGATTTTTTTATAATACGCAATACAAAATGCGTTAATTCGAAAAATTCTATTGAGAAAGTAATCTGTGTTTTTCATGTAAAATAATTATAAATCTCAAATACCTATTTTCAGTAATTCCATAAAAAATTAATGAAAAAAGTAGCAAAAAAACTGACTTAATTCGGAATAAAAAGTGATTTCTTTATAATACGTAATACAAAATGCGTTAATTCGAAAAATTCTATTAAAAAAGTAAGTGTTTTTTATGTAAAAAATTATAAATTTCAAATACCTATTTTCAGTAATTACTTAATGAAGAAAGTAGCAAAAACCTGACTTAATTCAGAAAAAGAAATAAGACAAAAAAAGAGAAGATTTGAGTAATTAAAGAAGAACAAAGATTGTTAGTAGAGAAAACTAAACCAAAAATAAGAAAGGAAAAACTTTAAAGTGTCAAGAAATGTTTAAAAAAAATAGAAAAAAAAGAAAATGCAAAAAAATTGGTTTGATTTTTATTCTTTATTTACTTTTCTATACAAGTTGTAGAAACGCAAAAAATAATTTTTTGAAAAATTTTGTATTTTGTACATACAGGGTGCGCCAGAAAAAAAATTCATGTAAAGTAGTATACAAAGAACAAGCAAAAAAATTTTAAAAAATTCTACCATTAAAAATTTCGAAGTTATAAGAGTTTAAATTTTGCACTTTGACTATTTATTTTTGTTGGAGAAATAATTTTTATAGTTTTTTTGCTAAATTGTATTTTTGTTTAATGTTATTTGTGGCTTTTATTGGCAAAACTTTTGTACTTTTACTAAATAATTATAAAAAAACATATACAAGATCAGTATACAAAAATGGAATTTTTTAAACATTTTTTCCCTGTTTCTGGTATCTTATCTTACTTGAATTTTTTCTTTGGAGTGCAAGTTCTGACACACGCTGTATATTGGATTAGAGCAAAGACACTGGTGAGGGGCGTGGTGGCGCAGCAAAGGTGCTGCTTTTCGCAGATAAGTTTGGGTCAAGTCAACAATTTTTTTCTAATTAAAATTCTAACAACTTGAATAATAATTAAATTAAAAGCTCAAATTCCAAACGTCAACTTTTCAATACCAAAAATAAAATGCTTTATGGTCGTAGTTAAAACATAGTATTCCACTCGTTTTTTAAACTTAATTTTATGAATAATAACGCGTTGAATAGTATACTATTTTAAATTAAACCTTTTATTACCTCCAGTTTCAGTGCGTAATAATAATTTTAATTTCCACGTAAAACTCTTCAGTTCTGTTAAAATTACAGTCGTTATGCGATACAAACTGAAGGAAAATGAAAACCAGTCACGTTCCTCTCAACTGAAAGAAAAGCAAGCAGTTGAGTGCATGTTTTTTCTAGGATAGTTTCATCGTTTCAGCATGTTGAGTCAGCTTTTAGTTCCTGAAAAATGGACAAAGCTTTGAGATTTGTGAGCATATTTTTTATTATTTGTGGTTATTTCAAATTTCAAAAACATATTTATTCGAGTCATTTATAAAAAATATTGAGAAATCGCCTGAAATAATACTGAAGGCAGAATACAATAGAACAGGTCAAGTTTTAGTTGTTTACCTCTTTGAAATCTCAAAGTCAAACTTAATTAATATTCGTAAAGTTATTTTATTTATCTCCCCCAAGCAATGTTTTATGAAATTTCTTAACTCTAGATTCCGTCTCTTTGTCATCCTTTCCCTCATCAACAATTTACAAGTCGTTTTCTAATTTTAACAGGACATAGAAATTTTACATGAAGTTGTAATTTACTAAAGTGCAGCGTCTTGCGTGTTTCTCTCATTTGTTTTACGTGCCAGGGGGTAAGAAAACATTTTAACGTGATGAAACCCACCTCATATCATATCCAGGACTTGTGTAAAATTTTCAGCGAGTTTTTCAGTTGACAATTTACTCGCGATCGTTACATTTATTTACCTGTGTTTAAACGTCATTGATCTCATAAACCCACGACCTGAAAATCTGTGCCAAAAATACATCATAAAAAAATTTCCTGCACAATTACTCTGTGGTTTGTCAGAACGCACGATCAAATTACTGCGGCTTTGAGTAATGGCCCTTAATTATGACCCAATATCGATCTGAGTATTTGTCGTCGAAAATTAATTCCTCGAATTTTTTACAATTTTAATCCTGAAAATTGGTGACAATAACGTTTTGTTGCAACATCTAAACAAAATTTACCAAATCGGAGAGTTTCTTGATGAAAACCCTTTTTAAATTTAAAGAAAATAACGTATTTCAGACCTATTTTTAAATGTTGTTAGTTTACTAATAAAAATAAAAGGCTTTAAAACTAAACTAATACTGAAAATCGAAATAAAAATTTTGTCATCATTGGTGACAACATTCTAATTCCATTTTGGTGTCTAGTACTACGAAATTATTTTCTCACTTGCGCAAGTACAAATATTTATTTTTGTTCTATTTCAGGCTTGAGACAGGTGATTCAGCAATTTTTTTTTGATTTTCAGGCTGATGAATGAAACGTATTTCAGATCTAATTTTGAAATTTTTTGTTTAGTCTTGTCAAAATAAGGCTTTAAATCTATCGAATTTTTTACAGTTTTAATACTGAAAATTGAAAAAAAAAATATTATCATTGGTGACAATATTCTAATTCCATTTTGATGTCTAGTACTCCGTCACTTGGAGTATTTATTTTTGTTCTATTTCAGGCTTGAGACAGGTGATTCAGCAATTTTTTTTCGTTTTTCAGGCTGATAAATTGTGAACCGAGAGTGTAAATTTGACTATGCTACATTTACGCTCTCATAAATTAGCAGCAGATGTTAAAAACCCAATTTTACTTACTGAAATCTGAAAAAATGTTTTTTAAGTTTTTTAATCTCACCGTATCGTGATGTTGATGTTTGCAAAAACCGTTAAATTTCTTCAAGTAGACGAAAACAACGTCTTTTGGTCAATTTGTTAATTTTGAAATTGTTTGTTTAGTTTTGTCAAATTTTTTTAAATGTTCTTAGTTTACTAATAAAAATAAAAGGCTTTAAATCTATCGAAACAGACAAAAATTAATCATCTCAAATTTAATTTTCATCAAATTTTGACT